AGAAAACATGAACCAAACACAACCTTCTGTGTTTTTACATTTTTCCTGACAACTTGTAACGTTTTCAAAAGTTCCATAATCGTTGTCAACAACTACCCGTATCATTGCGTCATCATTAAGGAAAGTGGCATTTTGAAAAATACACTTTTCCGTGGTGTTAACACATGTCCTGCGCCCAGCAATATTTCCAGCTAGCAGATAGAGTTGAAGATCTTTTACAGGTGTGTCGCTTAAATAGCAACCCTTTGTTTTTTCATTGAAATTGAAAAATGTACATGGTTTTGTTTCAAAACATTTTTGTTGACATAGACGCCAATCAAAGTATTTAAACCCACCAGCCTTATAAGCATTTGGAATTGTAATTCCATCATATGCAACATGTTGCATACAGAGGGATGTGGGTCTATCTTCTGAAGGACAACGTGGTGGGCCTGATACTGCATCAGTATCATTATTCTTGGCACCCTTGGTTGACATTAAAAAGCAAGTTTCAGCTAGGTCTGATCTTTTAAATTTGAACCAGACACAAGCATTGACAATAGCGCATTGAGCTTGGCAGTTCACAAAACTTGGGGAAATGAGTTGCTTGATCTCAGTTCCATCATAACTAGTGTTCATTTCTATACAGCCATCTGTATCCTTGCTAGGTGCACCTTTTGACCATGAATAGATACAGCAGAGTTATAGAAACCTTTTAAAGCTCGGGACAAAATTAAATCTAAAAAGGCTTGAACTTTCTCGATAAAAAGAAAATTTTTGTCCAAAAACTTTATAACAATGCGAACCAAAATAACAGCGTTACAAATACAAATTCCCAAAAAAACATGGGAATTCAGTGACGAATTGGATATCGTCTTTGTTTTGAATTAACATTGTAATACCTAATTTCAAAAGCCATAATATTATTATGTCTGCTAGAGTTTATTTTATGAAAAGGGTAGAAGACTGTAAGATGTGTCTAAAATGTCTCCGCAAGATGAATAGTGAAGACAGACAAGTTCATTCTGTTTGTATACTGCAATTTTCTTGTTTTACTAAGTACAACCGTATGCAGTCAAAACATAAACAAACAAAATGTGAACATAGCAGACGAAACTCTTACAGATTACAGCTTTCTCAGTAGGTATCACTATACTAAATCAAAGAATTATATAAAAAGACGATATCGAATTCGTCACTGAATTCCCATGTTTATTGGGACACCCTGTAGTTATTTTTTAATACCAATATCTTAGCAACTTGAGAGTATAAAAATAATTCATAGTTTAAATATCAAAATTGGGTTTCACAAATATGGAATAACATTTTTTTTGGAAAAACGAATTGCAGAGTCTTTTGAACAAAATCAAACATTTAAACCTCAATATCTTTGAGCTCGATGTTGTAAACCTTTGATATTTCAAACTCAAATTATTTGATTTGACAGAATTGATAGTTTGAAATATCTAAAGTCTGAAACATTTGGTTCCAAAGATATAGTGATCAGAAAATCAGAGTTTGTGGCAAAGACTCAATTCCTTTCCATCAGTTATTTCAGTTTTTATTGTATCTTGTCCCTAAAGACCAGTTGTATTGTATTTCAGTGGTATGACATGATTGAGAAATCCTAAGATATAAACTAGTTAGAACACTTAGAATCCACATCATGCGCTCTGTTGGCAGCATAAGTTGAGACTGAGGCTTACAAGAAATATTACACTTTAAAATGATTTTCATGTACTTGAGATTCAAGATTCAGGAAAACCCATGAAGACTTCAGAGACGATTGTACATAATTTCCTTAGTCTACTATGCAACTGTAGTGACCTTTCNCACTCTAACCCTTTCATATTTACCTATTCATCCGGTCCAAAAGGTGTATCATTTTGCTATTTTGCTATACTTGTTCAACTTTAATTACTTAGATTAGGTTGGGGTTTTTATGGTCTGAAATATGATCTGTTCATATTTATTCGTGCTTATTCAATACATATATTGATTTATCATATATGTGTATTTTGTCAAAAGAAATATTAAGCTTATTTTGATCTTTCATCCTGATCTAAATAACATGTATTAAAAATGTTTCTTGATCAAGAACCGACTAAAACATTATTGAACCTTTAAATCAACTTTTTATTCCTGACTGATTAGTTTGATGCCATTTCTCCGCCTCCTGCTCTCCAACCGCCACCGCTGCTACACTCCGCCATTTTTGTGCTTCATTGCTGCATAGTACCAAAATGATCACTGTGAGTTAAAATGTATTGTGTCTGATATAAATCATGATTTTGAAAATTAATCCTCCAAAGCTTTTATTAGAAACAAACTTCTTTGCGAATAAAGAATGTGTATCCAAGGGTAAAAAACGAGTTGGTATTAAAACATTTGTACATTCTGAATCTGAACTTTTCTAACATTGTTAACAACGCACTTTAGGTGGCTCTGATAATCCAGGGTTTTCAGCAGAATAAAAATTCTGGATTTTGCGCACAAAATTTTGTTTGCTGCTAATTACTAATTTTGTGAACCTTTGATATTTCTAAATTAGATTATTTAATCTAACATAATTCCTAGTTTGAAATAGCGAAAGTCTACGATATTGGACTGCAAATCGGGCGGTTCCAGGATTTATAATCGCGCAAAGCACAAAAAAATGCTTACCCCCCCCCCTTTATTAATTTTACCCCATCCTTTAATCTTATAAAGAGAAATTTTTCCCCATCCCTTATTTTTACAGCCCTAACCCTATCAAAAATTACAGTTTCTTTAAGTACAGAGTAGGATAATGTCTTAATATAAGATCATCTTATTCTAATGAAGGGAGAATTATTTTTTTATTTCTTAAATCATGCTAATTTTTCTTGCAGGAGACTACAAGTAGGTTTAATGTTTATTTTTAGAGTTTAAAATAACCCAAAGAAAGAAAATAGAGGAATTTTTTTTCAAAATAAAAAAAATTAAAATATCGTTTATCTAAATCTACAATAATTTAGTTTTCTTGAGTCCCTTGAATTAAAAGCATTTAACACACTGATGTCCGAAATTGAGACAAGCCTCTTTGGGTGCATCGCCAGTCTTCTCAAGTTGACCAACCTGTCGGTTGCAATAAGTGACCTATTCAATCAGAGCATTGAGCAATATTTACATCACAAAGTTTCAGTTGTCAATAAAGACTTGATAAGTTTAGACTAATGCACATATTCCAGCATGGTGGAAAACTTGGCTTATCACGGATGTATTTTTGATTTTCTTTGTTTTTCTAATTTTTAGCAGCATTTACAAAAAGCATTTTTCGATAAACTCAAAACTGACCATCCCAAATAGCTATTCTGGCCAAAAAACCGGTTATACAAACGGTTTATAAAAATATTCGAAATAGCGATCTAGGAACATTAAAGTGGAAAAAATCAAGGAAATCACAAAATCAGCTGTTTTCCCTAGTTTTTCAGCTCCAACTCGGCTGTTTTTCATTATTTTGTAAAAAAGTTTTTTCCGTTGAATATGGCTTGGAAAGAACAATATTTTGATGGCCATATTGACATATTTTAAGAAAAAAAAAACACTCTTACCAGCGTTTTTATATCACAAAAGGCCATTTGAGATTGTCAATTTTTATTTTATCAAAAAATGCCTTTTGTAAATGTTTCTTAGAATTAAAAAATACATTAGTATTTACCACTTGAAATGATTCGTTTCAAAGGAATTGAGTCTTTGTAACAAAATCAAATATTCAAACCACAAAATCTTTAGAACCCGATGTTGTAAACCTTTGATATTTCAAACTCTGATTATTTGATTTAACAGAATTCATAGTTTGAAATATCAAAGGTCTACAACATTTGGTTCCAAAGATATAGTGATTAGAAAATCAGAGTTTGTGACAAAGACTCATTTCCTTTGTGACAATTCTTTCACTTGGGGGGGGGGGGGTAATGGAATGCAGCCCCCCCCCTGAAACCGCCCTTGCACTTAATGTCAAAAGAATTTTAGGTTGGATTATTATTGGAAACTAAAAAGCATATAGCACATTCATAAAATATTATTAATTTAATAATTTTTATTTTTAACTGTTACTTTTTGGCCCATGGTTTTTTATTGTGCGGAAGTGAGCACTTTGTGCTTTTGCAATTGTGATAAATTATTTTTGCAAAAAATGCGCGCAGATTCTTTGCAAAAGTCATGTAAAATAACCAAGTTTGAATTGTGAACAGCAAAAATCTTTGTGCCACTAAACAAGAAATTCCAACTGTGTTCACCCAGAGCTGGATATTTAAGAGAGTAGTGATGAATGTTGAACAAAAATCAAGAAAAAATATAGTATCTAAAAAACTGCCTGACCCAATTTATGCGAAAGGGTTTCCGATACTGGGTTTCACTACAGTCTACAATACTCTGTCTTAAGTTTCAGGCTCAGGTGCACTCAATGTACAATAACACATGTACTGTTTTCGCTATGACTGTTCTAAGTCAGTTAATAGTGTATGCATTCTCTATACCACAAGATGACCTCTTATCATAACTACACTTGTAGCCAAGTTGTTGGTTCCCTATTGCAATTAGGGTTTCTAACGCAAGTAGATTTTACTTGCGCACAATTCCGAACAATTGCTTACACTTTGAGAACAGTTGCGCGCAGCGTAATTCCGATTGGAAACCCTAATTCTCACCAGTGCTACGCAGAAGTAGCGCTAGATCTTCTCAGTTGGAATCAGAGTGAGGGTCTGGCTTTGCTCTACATAGCACTAGTGAGAATTATTACACTCTCTGACTAGTGCTATGATGTTTAAGTATATAACCAGCAGGTAATCGATATAGTCTAAAAATAGGGCCCTCAATATTTACAAGGTTAAACCATCTGAAAAAAGGGAGATTCTAGGAATGTTTTATTAAAATATTCTGCGTTTTGAAATGGAAGAAATAATTTGATTATCATGCCGCTGAAGGAGGCTTTGATATATTTTAACACATTGGTTTGTTTTATATATTATTATCCTAATTAAATAATTAAATTTTTGAAAAAAAAATATTGGATCAATTTATTAGATAACATTTATCATAAAGAAAACTAACTGCAATCCGTTTTCCTGCCCATCATAGCTCCTTCATTGAATTCCAGAAACACAGGGGTTTCAGTCAGATAGCATTTATCCTCTAAATAACTGAAACTTTGACATTCTTTTGTTGCAAGGCATAAACTCTTACAATCCTCAACAGATTTGATAACAACTGTGTCATTTACTGGTTTAGTAAACCCAACATATCTCATATTTTTATCAAGACAATTATCTCTTGCATAAGTTCTGGGGAAAGGGCCATCTTTCCTTTCACAAGACGGAGGTCCGCTCCATATGTCATACATTTCAAAAAATCTATCGTCTCCTCCAAAGAAGCTTAACAAAAAACAACTATTTTCTTCTATATCAAAGTTGAACCAAACACAGTCACTGTCATTTTTACATAACTCTTGACATTTTTCAATAGTGGTGGCTTCAGAATGAGATTTTTTGATACCACTAGATGACCTATTGTCATAACTATACTTGTTGTAGCCAAGTTGTTGTTTCCCTCTTACAATGCACAAATCATTTAGCCTCTCTTCGTCTAGTTCAGGTTCAATATTTTCACAGCTGGGGGGCCCTGATTTCAACCCCTTTTTGTACTGTTTGTACCCCTTCTTATACTTGAGATAGCATTTCTTCATACTGGCTAAATAATTAAACCATTTACAGTCTGTGTTGTTCCTACACGCCTCCTGGCACTTTTCTACAGTGTCTTGAATTGAGTCCATGCTAGATGTCTTTTTAAATATATTGTATCCAGCATATTCTACATCAGTCTCTATACAGTTCTCATCAGGAGGAGGTATAACAGGGCTCTCAGGGTTATCCTCAGCACAAGAGGGAGGACCAGATATATAACCCGGCAGCCCTGTCTTGTTAAACCTAGGAATACAGATGTTTAATGGATTGTAATTGTAGTTTCAATGACCCTCCATGCAAAGAGGGCAATGTCAGATTTACAAGATTACCCTTTAAATCTGTGTGTATTGTTTGAGATTGTGTATAAACCTATCGAGACCCGCTTGTATTCAGTTGCAAATACAGAGAACATTAGTCCCAAAACTAACACTTGGCCCATTTCTAACACTGAGTGTTAGAAATGGTTTCTGCAAGGTTATCTTTTTCAAGAGTATATATCTTTAAATCAAAGACAAGTAGAACAAAATTACACCATATATTTATCAAAAATGGCTAAAACTATATATTGAAACAATGAATGTCAATTCCAAACTAATAATAAGGTGTGAGAATTAGTCTATGATGATTCTTGATTTGGATTTCGATCATATTCATATATTGAAACAATTAACAGTGTCTGAATTTAATGAATTTGAGCCGCGACTAAATTTGCCAAAAACCGATTTCAATTTTGCACCGGCTTAAATCTTGAAACAATGAATACGATTTTCGGTGGAACCAACCATGTCTGAGCCTCAGATTTCAGCTCCTGTTGCGTTTTCGGACAATTTGAGACAATTACCGGAATTCATATCGTTGAAAATTTTTAAGTATCTACGCACTTACATAAGAAAACAAGATTTTTTGATCATTAAAATATAAAAAAATAGAAAATAAAAACAGACTGTTATTTTATAATTTAAAAATCATTACAGCATTGAGAAATCAAAATATTGATATCATTCATTCTTACAATATAGATTATTTAACTAGAAATGCGGGGAACTGTTTGTTTAAAAGGCTTGAAAATAAATCATCAATGTTCTCTAATTTATCAGATAAAATGTGGAAACTTAGTTTTTTGAATTGTGGATTTTACACAAAAAACGGGAAAGTGGGTTTTGTCTCGAAAGCGCGACAATGTTTCAAATTCAGGATATGTTCGAAAATAGAAAACCTTACATTGTTATGAAAATGGTCAAGAGATTTAAAAGACCATCGGTTTTTCTTAGAACCCCTAGGAGGTTTAAATTTCCATTGGTTCTTTTAGATTTTCTGAGAGTAAATGACAATCCTTTATAAGGAGCTGGTTACCTGGCAGATAGAAGCTGACATCTATTTTTGGAAGAAAACATGAACCAGACACAACCCGCTTTATTTTGACATGCTTCCTGACAACTCGTAATATTATCAAAGACTCCAAAATCTTCCTTCACCCCTGCTCGTTTAAGTTTATTTGAAAAAGTTTGATTTTGCTTAATGCAGTTTTCTGTGATGTTAACACACGTGCTGGGGCCATATATTTCTCCAGGGGCAGGTTTGGGTTTAACGTCTTCAGCCTTGTCTTTTGTTAAAGAACAAACTGTTGTTTCGGTATTGTAAGTGAAAAATGTACATAACTTTGTTTCAAAACACTTCTGTTGACATTCTTGCCAATGTTTGAGGATGTAATCACTTGTAACTATGACATTTGGAAGAGTAATTCCATCATATGCAACTGCTTGCATGCATAGTGCAGATAGATTGAAGGAAACGGTAGGACCTGGTAGTGGTGGAATCATGGAGGTTACCGGATCAAAATTTTTGGGTTTAGTGGCCGGGGTCACAGAATTAGAGTTGGTTGAGTTGTTAAGTGATGCATTTGGTTTAAGTGTGACCAAAGTGGGAATGACTGATGTAGTTTTAAGATCTTTTGTTAAACAATGTGGTGGGCCTGATACTGCATCAGTATCATTATTCTTGGCACCCTTGGTTGACATTAAAAAGCAAGTTTCAGCTAGGTCTGATCTTTTAAATTTGAACCAGACACAAGCATTGACAATAGCGCATTGAGCTTGGCAGTTCACAAAACTTGGGGAAATGAGTTGCTTGATCTCAGTTCCATCATAACTAGTGTTCATTTCTATACAGCCATCTGTATCCTTGCTAGGTGCACCTATAGACTAGATACATTGGACAAACTAATAAAATGCAAATTGCAAATGCTAAATTTCTTTGCATGCCTAGTATGGATATCTTTTCAAAAATAGTTTGTGTGCAGATTTTAGGCAGAATTTTTTCAATACCGGTAAAATATAGATTTTTCCTAAAATAAAAAAACACTAAGTTAACTCATTTGAAGAAAAAAATGAGCTCGTCTAAACGAAGGGGATCTATTTTATACAGATATAATTTGTTTAATCTTTGAACATAACTCTAATAAAAATGCGCAACAAATGAACATGTTTAGAGGAGTTTTACCAATTAGGTATATTTCAGACTTATTTTTGATCAAATCAATCTATCGATCCATTAACGACAGAAATTAAAATTTTGAAGAAAAAAAAAACAATCTTATCTTTCCAATACAGCGCCCCATATCATATTAGATTATCTCCATCTTTAACGCCAAAATATGCACACAATACTCGAAAAATCTAGCATTTTCTGCAAAAAAATTTTCTATTTGCCTTATTAAATTTTTCAAAATGATTTATTTGTCTTAAATTTTCTGACACCCTGTAAGTTAAAATTGGTACGCAAAAATTTACAACACAAGACAACTACTTATCTGAAAAATATAGGACACCTGGAAATCATAGATAAAATTATTTTTACTCATAAGAGCAGATTATAGTTATGAAAACAGTAGTTTTAAAAAATAGTAATCAGCTCAGGTTTTAATGTATCTTGTCCCTAAAGACCAGTTGTATTGTATTTCAGTGGTATGACAAGTATAAACAACCCCCAGATATAAACTAAGTAGAAAACTTGGAATCAACATCGTTTGTCTCGGGAAAAGTTTGAACTGAGGTTTAAACGAAATATTACACTTTAAAAGGTTTTTCATTTTCATGAGATCCAAGCTTCAGGAACTATATATTAAGGTGTGTCAATGTTGGAATTAAGAAATTTAAAAGTAAGAGATAGGTGGGAATCTATTAAAAAAAATGTTTGATATTTATTTTTTTCTAAACATGTAATATTCAAATCCTTATTGTAGTTTTTGTTAATCGCGTAAATTGAAGAGTTGACTAATTTGAATGTTGTTTTCTTTGTCAACATAATTAAATTTGGTTCTTTAAATATCATTATTACTGACCCTCAGAATCGAAATAACGTTCATCTGAACTTATTGTATTAGGGTAAATTTTCATTTGAACTAATGTTCATTTGAACTAATGTTTATTTGAACTAATGTTCATTTGAACTAAGGTTCATTTGAACTAATGTTCATTTGAACAAATGTTCATTTGAACTAATGTTCATTTGAACTAATGTTCATTTGAACTAATTTTCGTTCATTTGAACTAATGTTCATTTGAACTAATGTTCATTTGAACAAATGTTCATTGTTCAGTATAATCGACTAATGTTGATATAGACAATATTTTTAAATTGACATAGTTTATTTCGACCCATTTGTTCCAAGAATATATGTTCATCTGGACTAATTTTTACTCAGATGTTTGTTCGGGAGAATGTTCATTTGAACTAATGTTCATTTGAACTAAGGTTCATTTGAACTAATGTTCAATTGAACTAATGTTCATTTGAACTAATGTTCATTTGAACTAATGTTCATT